CGGATCACCGAATCGGGACATTTATTGAGTAAGAACAGGAGTTTCTGGAAACTTGTGGCACGAGCCATAAGGAAGCGGTGCATAACACTACTATTGATCTCACGCCACAAAGGTGCAAAAAATCCTTGTTTGGTTGATCCTAGGTTTCCCTCACAACCAAACCCAAGAATGGTGTTTTAAACACCGAAAAAACAAAGAAAAAGATGGGGAAAGCATTTAAAGGTTCTCAAAAATTACCTTTTGCGATATCTTTGATGATTTGCTCTAAAATGGTGAAGGAAAACCCAACACTTGGTCTTTGATCCAAAAATCCAAGATTCAAAATTAGACTGTGTGTTTTTAGGATTCTAGATTGTCTACAAGCGATTTTTGATTGATTAACAATGAATTCTCACCTCAAATCCAAGATTAACACAAGTTGTCTTTAGACTTTTTGGCTGAGTTTTTAAAATGCAAGAGCTTCCCCTTATTTTCCAAAAAAGAGTCCTCCATTTCACAGCTCTCAATGCCTATTTATAGGCAAAATGAGGGTGGGTTACCCCATTTTAGGGCTGATGCAGCAAAAAAGCCACTATCAGGCCTGCAACGGGACGGGCTCACTTTTACAGAATCGGACCGGGTGATATACAAAATGAGGTGGTGCACCAGAAAGTGTGATGGGCAAACCCGATGCATTTTTTGGGCCCAGTTTTGTCGCGAAACGCCTGGTAACCTGAAAAAGGTAAAAGTGGTTAAACACATCAGTAATCTTAGCCATGGACCATCGATCCAAAAACCAGGATGATCAGAAATCCCGATCCAGTTTTATGTAAAAAAACGATGTATCATCACTGAACCTTTTAGGAGTAAAATTTAAGCGTCTACAATAACCCATCTTTTTTTCATTCTTCTTCTTCTCATTTCACACATTGGCAGTAGGAATTAATTTTGGAAGAGATAGAGATTAGATTATATATAATAATATATTCAATTCAAACAAACTTAGCTAGTTTTTAGAATTCTAGTTGGATTAGATGGCATGATTAGAGTAGATTATAGGTTTTGAAAATTACCAATTATCAGTATTATATATTAAATTGAAAAATTGAAAAATTAAGTTGGCCAATCAAAATACAGAAAAGTAAGAAAAAAATCTCAAATTTTTAAAAAAAAAAAAAAAAAAAAAAAAAAAAAAGAAAAATATATCTGCTGAACAAAGAGAACATCTTAAATTTATCTCATTAGTTTTAGCTGTCATTTATATATATAGATGTTACATTAAATATTTTTAATGTAGTTAAATAATTGTGGAGTTACTAAGGTAAAAAAGAACATATAATATAACAAATTAAGATAATAAATTAGGAAAGTTAAGAAATTATGAAACTTTTAATCTAATATTAAAAAATACGCTTTCTAAAAGAGTATCTTCTCAAAAAAAAAAAAAAAAAAAAAAAAAAAAAAAAAAAAGCTTTATAAAAAGAGTAAAGTAGGCGATCATAAAAAAAATAGAAAAATTTTTGCAGCTTAAATAATTAAATGAAGCGAGAATGAACTTCTCGACTCATTGAATAACAAAAAAATAACACAAACAACCCAAGTAATCACATGAATGAGCCTAATATTGTAAAATGAATACACTTTCATGCAATCAAGCATCGACAAATACCAACACCCATAACTAATATGCATCTGCAAGCAATTATAAGACGTGAATATTGGTAAATGGAGTTAATTAATCCTCCGATGAGCCGGTCCACACTCATAACTCGTCCTATCATATATGTGTACTAATGAAAATTTTAACATGAATATTTAGTCACTTCCCGCTACCTAATTAAACAACTTGCTTCTTGTTGTTGGAGTGCGCTACCCTTCAAGTCAAAATAGTGGTTAGGTGATATTCCATATCAATTGTTATGCATTATAAATGTTTTGTATATCTAAACATTACATCATGTTTCATTACTGCTCAGCAAACATAAAATAGTATCATTCCAAAATTTGGAAAAAAATAATAAAATTTACTCTCTTTATTCTGTTACTTTACAAAAAAAAAAAAAAAAAAAAAAAAAAAAAAAAAAAAAAACATAAAAAGTAAAGTGGTTGAAGAAGTGGTTAAACATAAATTTTTGCTTTTTTTGGTCTATAATATCTCTAATCAATATTAAATTACACAATCAATGATGAGGAAGCCAAGTCGCTAGCAGTCTTCCAAAGGCACATTTATTAGCCAAATTTTTTGAGGACCATCATGGACCCACCTTCTTCATGTCCTCAATCCAAAAAAAAAGGACACTCAATTTGCTCGGTAAAATAAAAAATTGTGCCTATAATATAATGGGGTGTAACGTTGACATATACCTCATTATTTTAAAACTGAGGTCCAATAATGTAAACATGTGGCCTTTTAAAGAAAAAATGAAAAATACAAAATAGTAATGATGCTGACATCCATAAAGTAGAGCACACTCCTAAGGAATAGTATACAAATATAGTCTTAGTATAAATCGGTCAATTTGTTCACTAAAAATAAAATTTTTGCCCATATTAGCAAGGGCTAATCTCTGCATAAAGATAATTTTGCAAAAGTAGAGTGCAACAATACAAACCTGTTACTATTTTATGCTGACCTCCAAAAAAACATACTCGTACTCGTGCTTCATGCGTAAATTAGTACACTTTTTGTTTAACACAATATGGAATGCAATTTAAACACACAATCAATCATGAGTACAAACTTAATTAACAAAGAATCACTTTAAATTTGTTGGAAAAAAAAATTCAAATTTGTACCCAAATTAAAGTGTGATATGGAGATATAGACTTTTTTTTATAGATAGGATAAAATAATTGAAATGTGTGGTCATATTATGAATATACGTACCCTTGTTTGTGTTCAAATTCATAAATTCAAGCACGTTTCTATCAAACTGCACATAAATATAGTCATTAATCATGCTTTGAAAACAGAAGATCATTAATTATCCATTCACCTTTTATATGCCACTATACTTATTGAGCCAAAAAAAAAAGGTAACTAATAGAGATTATTCAAGGGCAATTTGAACTCTCTTTTGCATCCTTCTCAAAATTTTTATTTAGAGTAAATTCTCTATACAAAATAAATACCCTAACACCAAGGGTGTGCATTAATCGAGTTGGGATGGGAATTAAATAATTTTCAGTCTCATCCCAAAATATCAGGACATAAAAAATACACTCATAATTTCGTCCCAATAGATATGTATTCTCATCCGATCCTATCCCATTTTTTTGGGACAGGACAGAACGAGAATTCGGTTTTATAAAACAGAACAGAATGGGTCAAGTCAAAAATCAATTAGGATTTTCCGTAGTTTTACTAAATTATTTTAACTCAAATTTATATAAATGAATTTTATTTGATTGTAATTGATGAATACAGTAATTTTTTTGGGTTAAAAAAATAAATCAAATAATTAATTCAATCATTGATGATCTACTACCAAGTTATAATAGAAGATTTTTAAGTAGTTTTTTTCTAGTTAATAAAAGCATTAAATATAATAAAATAAAATAATGCAAAAACTATATATAATTTAACTTTACATCTATTTTATGAATTTTAACTCATCATTTGTCACTGTTGTCTTTAAGCTAACTTAAATATACTTAATTTAATCATGAATATCATCTGAAAAATAAATAATGATAGCATTAAGCATAACCAATAATCTGGTTAATTTTCGAAGTTAATATTCTCTCCTGTATTGATTAATATTTTCATTTTTTCTTTAATAGAAAAAATTTATTCAAAAAGAGTTACTTAACACATATTATGGAATAACAGTGGAAAAACCTATGTTGAAAAATATATTTAATTACTTGATTTATTTTATATTTTAAAGGATACATATTATTTTTTTATTATTATTACATTAATTACTTGATTTATTTTATATTTTAAAGGATACATATTATTTTTTTATTATTATTACATTATTTTTTTTATTATTATTACTTTAGCAGTAATTGGTATTATAAAAAAACTAAAATAAATTGAATAAAATTATTTTTATAACATAATTTGAAATTCATTAAAAAATAAAATTTAAAAAGAAAAAATTGAACGAAATTCTCAATTTTCAGGACGGGATGAACTAGAAGGGGACAGAATTTAAATCAGTACGAGTAAGTATCAAAGAACCAGTCATGTCTCATAATTACTTTCAAAATAGAATTCGAGACGAGACTATTAAATTAATATTGAATTTTTCTCGGCGATAAAAAATTCAAAACGATTTTTAGGAACGGTTCGGAATTTCCGTAGTCCCATGCACTCCCCTACCTAACGTTATGTTTAGGAAGTGGTGGAAGAAAATAAGAGGGAAGAGAAAATAAAAAAAGATTGTATTGTTTGTTTTCCTTTTTTATTTTTCACCCTATATTTGGATGGAAAGAAAATAAAATGAGAAATAAATTATTATTAATTGAAGTTTACAATTTTACCCTTTACAAAAAAATAATAAATCAAGAGAGAATTGTATAACAAAACGAAGAGAATCTTGCACAATCAAAATTACATTAGTACAAACCCACCAGTAGGATACGCACAAATATAGCAAATACATACAAATTATTTTATATTATAATTCATCAAAAATCATGACTATTAGGGGGTCAGTTTTGTAATTTCCGCTAACATAGTCCGATTCTCCTCGAATTGCCAAATTCTCTCCGTTTTGCCAAAGACAACTATTACCCTTAATCATTTCTTGCCAAACTCACACCCACGATGTAAGAGCAATTAAAAAGAATAATGCAACAATGTCATTTAATACAATGAGTTGAGGACTGCAAAATACTACGATAGTTTTCAAAAAAAAAAAAAAAATGATGAAAGAATTGATGAGTTTCAGTGCTCAGTTGTAAACCATTAAGTCACAAATTTAAAGCAAAAAAAAAAAAGAAAAATAAAAAAAAGCGCTTTTCCTTTTCTTGCTACTGTTTTTCATCTTTCCACTGCCATTGGAAGTATGAAAAAAAAAAAAAAAAAAATGATGAGTCATTGCTCAGTGTAACCATTAGTCACAAATTTAAAGCAAAAAAAAAAAAGAAAAAAAAAAAAGCGCTTTTCCTTTTCTTGCTACTGTTTCATCTTCCACTGCCATTGGAATATGAAATTTTTGAAAAAAATAGTAATGGAAACAAAAGATCAGGCAGAAAGTATATATTTCTGTAATAAATATGACCATGAGAAATACACAACAGGGTTTGCAGCAAACCGCCTCCACTAACTGCTTTCATCCATGGGCTCATTTCGATCACAAGATTGAGATGTTAAATCTTTGTCATCTTGTCTTGATTCCTCAGAAACTTTAGAAACTGAATCTTCAAGTGCCTCTAGAAAAGACACAACAGTGAACTTGTCTGCAATGTCAGGGAAAGAACATAACATTTAATCGCAGCATCTTCACTCATAAACTAATAAAAGGTTAATGATCAAATAAATCCAAAACTTCAATCAAGTAGTCCAATGTCGTAACATTAATTTTGTGCCAATTATGTAAACTAACAATAATATTTTGTCAGTACAGTTTGCAAGAGCATATAAGGAATTTGCATAAATATTATGACAGGTACAAGTAGCACAAAAAGAGGTATAAGTGCAATAAGCAGTGCAAGGTTTTAATTTGAATTTATTTGGTAATACTCCCTTTGATAAAAGCTCTATTTTTTACTTTTAACTTTTGCTGGATGGTTATTTAAAACCTTAAGTGGCCAAAAGGTAGAATTAGCCTGATATTAGGAAATTTTATTTTTGTTTCCCTTTCGTTTTTTAATTCTCTATATCAGAAATTTCTTTCACCATATATTCATTCCTATATTGTTTCAAGGGACAAAATTTCATCAAGCATTCACACAAAGCTCTCTAAAGCTGAAGTAATTGACCCCTTGTAAATATTTCCGATCATACTTCCGAAGAATTAACTAGACTTTCAATCCAAGTAATATGAACATGTGAAAGATCATCAAACCAGACATAGCAAAAGCAAAGGAGAATAACAAGGGTAGAGACTTCTGGAGTTTGAGACCACTTACATTTACTGGGGTCAATACCAAATTGAGACAAGTCTACCTGTCCAGTTTTAAGTACCTAAAAACAAAGAGAAAAGTACACCTTACTAAATTAGCCGGCACCTAAAAATAAAAATAAACATAAGGTCAGGATTCCAATTTCTCACATAAGTAAAAGAATCCACTTGTTGACGGAAAGGTGGGCTCTGCAGCAATTCCAAAATATCCTCTGGGGTCCACCGACCCTGCACCGTCAATTTTCTCAGGAACACACAAATATGAAAGATAAAGATGAAATCTCAAACAGAAGGCTATTTCTACCTCAGGTAAATATGATGCTAATCTTTCTTGCAATGGCAATGTGTCCATCAATGGAATTATTAAATCAGGCTTCAGGATATCTCCTAATCCCAATCCTACACAAAAAAAAGAAACTCACAGGAAAGCAGGATGAGATAATACATACAGAAGTATGCCACATACCTTCTGTAAGAATAATTAAATAAATAGTTATTTTACAGGTTCAGATTCAATATAACTTGACAGAAAACTTTTGATAATTATTTAAACAATAATTTATAATTTCCACACCACAACATGGATAGGAAAATTAAAAGACAATCAAGGAACTTAGGCACAGGGCACAAAGCATTAGTGAAATCAGGCACACATTTCACAACTCGAAATAACATGTATAGCAAGTTAAACTATATATATCAAAAAAGGAATAATCTATATATATCAAAAAAGGAATAATAAGAAAAAGGCGTAGAAGTTAGGCAAAACATTTCATTCATTGCAACTTGCACCTCAGTCGCACTTAAGTCAATCATATAAGCCCAAAAACCAGAACAACAAAATGAGAAATAAGGAAAATAACACTAATGCGATCGATGTCTAGAATTATTTCTTGGGAGCTCTCGAACAAAAAGTTTTTTTTTTTTTTTTGGGAATACTGACAGAGAATTTAGAGCTTAAATATGCAAAATAAACAATAATTCACTATACCTTTTGATTCTAAAATAGAATATAATCCATAGGTGATAAATGGAAATATAGTTACAGGAACAACATTTAAAATACATCAGTCATCACTAAATGTTTCAAACTTCCTTCAGCCTATTGCATATAACAATAAAATGTCGAGTGATTACCTCCATCTGGATCCCCAGCACTACCTGCAACAAGTATCATCATATATAACGAGTCAAAGATTAAACTGTGCTACAAAGAGATTGGGGGAGAGAGAGAAAGTAAGAGCTAGAGGTGTTAAAATGCAACCTATGAGAAGAAATACCTCCATGACTAATATTACTCAAGATCCTTTGTAAATCTTCCAATTTAACAGGTCCTGATGAAGAGGATACATCACTAATCACTTCTGCACCTAAATTTGGTACAATTAAGTTACCAGCCCTGACAGTTGTGAAATGAATACAATCAGAATAAAATAATGAGTGTCAAATATCAATTTCAACTCAACAAGAAAAAAGACACAACCAAAAAAGCTAAATATTTTTTTAAGGTACATTGATCGGATATTCTTAAAGGGGAGGACTGCATGGGATTAGAACCTTTAACCTTCTGCATACAATGTAATCACTTACTGAAGTGATGTTAGGATAGCAAGTACGAGTTGCATGGGAAGTTAAACATTTAAAAGATACTCCCTCGGTCCATAAATAGTGGTTCATAATGTTTTGACATGGAGATTAAGAAAAGTCATTTAGAAATACATTTTTTGAGTTCATCTATTTTACCCTTATTAATATTTTGAAGAGAGCAACACAAAAACAAAATTGGACCATCCTTATTAATATTTTAACATTTGATGAGACTCATTTGAGGAGTATTAGTGATAAAATAATATTTTTCCTTATTGACTTTAACTTAAAAGAGATATCGGACCATCCTTTTTGGAGTTCTCGAGAAGTAAATAAGGACTATCATCTGTAGAATATGGGAGTATAAGTAAAAAAAGACATCAAAGAATTGATACCTCAAAATTCTGAGTTAGGTGGTCTTACTCACAGTGTCTTATGCCAGCCTAGATATTTTCAATCCTGATATTTGAAAATTGACTCTTTTCTCTTTTCTCTCTCTTTTTTCATGTTTTCTTCTTTACTTATCCAAAAAAAAAAAAAAATACTAATAATGACTACAATGAAAATACTTGCTACCACCACCTCACCAATCTAAATGCATAACACAAAACAAAAAGTGAAAATTATAAGAAAAATCCTCATTTCAACACAAAAATAAAAATTTCCCATAAAATCTTCTTCTCGTATGACAAATCAAAATATTCTAATAACTTTCCCCTTTATGTCGTTGAGTCCCCAAATATCTTTATATATATGTCTCCAATTCATATCTGAATTATATAAACTTCTTGATCAAGTGCAGCACAACAATCAAACATTTTAGGCCTCCCATAGTTTGCATTCCCATTTCTTGGAAATTTACTTCCTAAGCAGCACTTGTTGGGGAGTTAATTCCAAGGAAGGTCCATTTCTTTGTCTTTTCTCCAACATTTTTTTCCTTGAAATTGTATTAATTCGCCAGTAAATTCTTGAATCTTACGATCTAAAATACAGTGACAGCCTAGCGGAAACAACTAATAACTTATGTTCAACCTATTTTCCATCTCAAGAAATTCAACTTCCTTTCAACTTCCCCCTACCGCACTAGGCCTTCTATACAACTAAAGTAAGTTCAGTTGCCAAGGCTTCCCCTTGACATTGTAATTCAGGCAAAGCAAACAACACACTATTAGACCTACATCCGAAAAGCCCACTGCATAACGTTATTGGGACCGAAACAATGTTTTCCATATAATACATGTAACAAGAAAATTCTCTTGCCAAAAGCTCTAAACAAACTGTTATAAACATACCTAAAATAATGAATAAGCAAAAAACAACCAAGGGGCAATTGCTAAGATTTGATTCTACTTGCATTCCAAATTCCCTCAGTACATGGGTGTTGTTCCAATGTCATAGTGGACATGCACCAGCCAAAAGGCTACTTCACCAACCTCCTCTTTCCCTTTCTATTAGAGCTAGGTAACAAAGTCTTTGACATTATATACCATGTTAGATGCATTGTTTTAATGTATTTTTATGTCAATGAAAGATCCTTTTTAGAATATTTATTATGCGTTGATGTCCTTTCTATGCATAGACATTTTATTTTTTATTGAATTTGATAATCTATATCAAATTTCACAATTTGATTCGATTCACAATCAATTCACAAAATGGGAATTTTGGTTTTTGATTCCAATCACGATTTAACAACAATTGTGAAATGTAATAAAACTAGCGACTTAATATTTTGCAATAATACGTCATTGGTGTCTAGACTTTTTGCACAATTAAGCGTCTCAATTACAAATTTTATTTTTGTTTAGGTGCATTTAGCAAGACTTGCAGGATAAAAATACGCCAGTTTACCCCAATAAAGTACTACTACATCGCCTCCACTCCATTCATCTCTTTCACTTTCTACCTCACTCAATGTTTCTTCATAAAAATTTCAATTTTCAACCTCTGGCGCTAAATAAAATAAATTTTACTCCCAATTCAAAATTGAAACCCTAATCACCATAAATATGTTATTATAAATTGCCACCTATTTCTCATACACGTCTCAAATGTATCCAATATATTGGCTAGTTTGGTTGCCAAAGAATGTCAAGGAAAGAGAGAGAGAGAGAGAGAGAGAGAGAGAGAGAGAGAGAAGGCCTTTTTAGTCGCAAGACAATCAAGAGAAAGGAACAAAAATAAAACAAGTTAACAGAGATGGAGAAGAAATGAAATTTTTGTAGAGAAGGCATTTGAGGAAAGGAAAAATTTAGAAACTAAAGGTAAATGGTCAGCATATTTGGTCAATTGCACCTCATTAGAATAAATTTGCCCATTCAGTAAGAGAAAAGGTTTTTTTGGTTGCGAGAGAATAAAGGATAAGGAACAAAAATAAAAAAGTTAATAGAGATGGAGGAGAAATGAATTTTTTGTAGAGAAAAGGCATTTGAGGAAATGAAACAGTTTAGAAACTAAGATAATTGATGAGCAAATTTGATCAATTCCACCTCATTAGAATAAAGTTGTCGATTCAGCCACTTGATTCCATAAAAAACAGTTTAGAAACTAAAAGAGTAATATCGAAAAAGTACAGAATCTTGTTATATGCCTAACGAGCACAAAAATTCAAATCTTTTCACATATTCTTTCAATTTCAGTCAATCAATTTTAGATTTTTTTTCTTTTTCATTTTAGTATGATTTGAGACATTGCTAACAATTTTAGCTAGTTGACAAAACAATAGATGAGAATAATAATAAACCAAGGAAGCATAATCAGGAATGCTACCATAACAACACCTAAGAGCGAGAAAATGGACTTAGAAATCTTAATAAACACATAAAATTCCAAAATATTAAAGTGTAACCATTAAACTGACCAACAACAGACTGCTTTAAAGATTTTGGAGTCACACACATTCCATGAAGACATCAAGAGGCTGTACAAAAGATCATTTCAGACTTAAACCATCCTACCTTTATTTTTAAATCTGTTCATCCAGAAAATGATTTATCTATATATTCAGACATTCGAACTGCATTCAAGATAATCACAAAAAATTCAGATAATATAACATTACAATTTCGCTTAGCAAACTGATAAGCTGAACTTCACAAATGAAATTGATTAGCAGGGGACTGCCTTTTTTTTGAGAGAGGGGAACGTGGTGCCAATGGTTCAGATTTCAAAGTGGAATTTCTGTGATAGATAACATATAACATACCTAGATGAGATATCATCTTCAATAATATCTTCAGAGACTTGTAAAGGAGCAGAAGCATCAGGCTCATCCTCACCAAGAAACTCTGCCAAACAGAGAGATTATTTAGTTTTATTCTTTTCTAGATAAGTTAAAAGAAATGTTATTAAAACGCACCAAGACAGTACAAATCCAGCAGTTTATATACATAGACTGGAAAAAGTATTTTGCAATACAGAAACCAATAAAACATACAACAATTTATCAACAAAATTGTGCATACCGATTACTACACCAACATCTCAAAACTCTAACAAACCAATATGCAAGTTTGTTTCTTTCCGTCCAGCTGAGCATAAATTAATGAGAGGAAACAGACCAAGATCCTTTGCATAAAAGAAAAGTTATTAAATATGATATTGTACAAAATCTTTAGTTAGCTTCTCTCATCTATATCTTTCATAATTGTAAACTCCAAAAAGACATAGACATACATATTTAAAACTTCAATCCATTTAAATATATAATATATTATACTTCACTAGAGAAATCTTAATATTACATGATGATAAATATCATAGATAGCATTACAATAAAAATATTGTTCGACAGTGATATATACAGAAAGGTGCAGAGTATATAGTTCCATAATTTGAAGAGAGAGTGGTGCCTTTTGAGTGAAAAATGAAACATAGATCAGTTTAAACATTATCACATTATACCGTATACAAGTATGAGCACATATTAAATTAACTGTGATATTACTACTCAATCCCAAACAACTAATTAGTTCCACAATCTTGCAAATATAGTAGATGTGATGATAATTCTTTGACACTTTGATTTGATGATATGTCCCATATTTGGATAATTTATTTATTATCTTGTGTGCTCGTATTTCTTGTATTTTGTCCACTAAAAAAATTGACTTCATAACAAATTTAAACATGAAAAAGGAAATTAATATTTTTTTTTCTCAAGTAGAGTATTCTGTAGGAAATATTGTGACTTGGTGAACAATTGAACTAGAAAAATTTAAGGTAGAAAAAAAAAGTAACTAAAAGCTAACTATTGGTGTTGTAACTTTTTCCTTTCAATATTTTCTTTAGCTTACATAAAAATAAAAATAAAAAGAGCTAATACCTATAAAATGGCCACAGAATTCATAAAGAATTGTGTCGCATCACTTTTCTTTTTCTTTTTGAGAAGAGAGTAGAATGTTAGCTGAACATGCATAGAATAGCATGTTTATTATCAACTTGCTTTAACTTCTTGTACACAAATAGGATAGTAATTATATTAACGATATTATAATTATTAAAAAGTCTTCTTTTGTCAAAATGTAATTTTATCATGTCTTAGTCCATTCAAAAGGTTCACCCTTTGGCCACTTCATATAGATAGATAGATTAAACTAATCTAATATCTCTGTGTTCACCAACTGCATGTATATCTTTCAATCATTAGCACACCCATGAAATGACAAGTTTAATTAAAAGGGAGGAACAGAGCAGCCAAGGAAGGGTAACATTCTTTAAGAAAGTATGACTAACCAAAAGATAAAAAGACAAAACATCAATGCAAGAGAAGTTGACTCCCTTTGGTTGGGAATGAACACATGCTAAAGTGAGGATGCATGCTTCAAAATGAAATTAGTTAAAGAATAAAGCCCCAAGTTATAAGTAAAGTATTCCTTTGTATAAATTTATTTATACAAAATTGAAAAGAGGCAAAAGCATATGCCAAGATGGATTCATGTGCAAACGCTTGCTTGTGCGCATAATATTAGAAGAAAATGGTTAGCTAGCAAATTCCCAAAAGATATTTAATTAAGTAATGAGAAAAGCCTAAAAAATGAAAAGAAATAAACTCACCTAATGGTCGATTGATATAATAATTGGTAGAGCTACACAACTGCCAATCATCTTCAGTTTTGGGCTCCTGCAAGCAATGCCAATTATTATCTCTAAAATGATAGAAGTAATGAGATGTCATAATTACCAATAAAATGGTAAAATAAAAACATAAAAATGAAGTTACCTGCATCCAAAAGAAAAACTTTCGGTCGTCGGTATTGAACTTCAAGATATAAACCCTTCCCGATGCTTGATTAACCTTATTAAAGCAAGACGATGAAATTGAAGTCAGTTATATCAGTCAAGTAGTGACCAAATTGCAGAAGCTAAAATTCTGAAGATGAAAAGTATACCTTCTCAAAAACTGCCTCATCTGGGAATATAATCTGATCCTATTTATAGTCTAGTGTCAAAGAAACAAAAAAGCAAGAGTATTCTAACCACAAAAGGAAATATACACAAATGATAAAACTAATAATAAATAGAAAATGGTAGCAAATAAAAGAAATTCACAAACAAAAAAGTTAAAGCAATGGGTACTTATAGATTGTTAAATAAAAGTAAGAAAATTGCAATAGAAGCAAAAAAGAAAAACAATCACATTCCAGCTGACAAATTGAAAAAAGTGAGGAGAGGGAAGATTCAAAACCATCAGACACCATGCATTTGCAATTCCAGAATTACCAGAACTTTAAAAGACCTAGTCTAAATGGCATACCCTCAAACACAGGCATGCAGTAGATAAGATAGGAAAATCTAGTGACTATTTATGAGCAACCTAAAAAATAAAATATATTTATCAACATTCTGGTGTTGTATGGAACAAATCTAACATCTAAATAAGGTTGACATTCTATGCTTGATATTACAAAGTTGCCATAATTCAATTTTAGAAAAAATGACAACTATTATCTAACTTCTGAAAAGGCAACTGCCCAAAATAGAATAGTATGCACTTGATATAAGACCAAACATATCTCAAACCATTACCTCTTTGCTACTACTAAGAGACAAGGTACAACCCCCGCCACCCCACAAACAAATGGAGAAAAAAAATTGGAAAGGTATATAAAGGTAAAAATAGGAAAAGATTTTATCCCAAGGTCGAGGCTATTAAAGAATTGCAAACATTGCTATGCACCAAATAACACACAGGAAGTGTTGTTGTGGACAATCTCTCATGCCCAGGAGTTAACATTGTGCTTAAAATGCACAAGCTCATAAAAGTATGAGCAAACACATTGCTAACCCAGCATCCAAGGTGTTCTCCAATGGCAAGAGTACAGAAGCATGATTAATATGCCCAAATTCATTAAAGCATCAGAAAGCATTGAAATTGTGATAGCTCCAAGATATAGTTGCTCACTTTTAACTCTACGGAGGAAACAAAACAAAGATCAACATGAAATAGATCCACGTGGAGTTAGTTAGGAGGATGAGCTAAAAGACAAAAGAAATAAAAAAACCTTGAAAGAAAATGGTCTCTTGAAACATATTGATGACCTACCAGACATTACTAATATAAGTAGTCAAAGGGTTTTCTTTTCAACTCAAGTCAACAATTGTGGAGATGGAAGGACATTTATAATCATTGATCAAAGAAGAAGAACATTGCTGTAGTGCAATAAAAAATTGACAAAGAACAACTAGTGATCACTAAAGACGAGGGATTAAAGCAAGAGCACTCAATCTCCAGTATCCTCCTGCCCCCAAAGTTGGGATTTGTTCACAACTTTTATTTTTCTAATAAGCATTCCCAGAGTTGAAAATTAAAATAATGAATTTTAGATTTCTGTAAACTCATTCAATAATGTTCCATTCTCTCTCACACCCACATGCACGTGCACAAAAGCAGGCATACTTAATTTTGGTGAACTAAAAAATTTTGAAGTTTGAAAAACTAAGAAACTCGATCACCACTTCAATCTCCAATATTTAAGGCATGCACATGAAAAGAAAAACGAAATGGACAAAATGCTCAAGGGTGCCCACTGTCACATACTAACAGTATCTTATTTTTTCATTGCACTTCTAAGCATCCACAATAATGATAAACAAAAGAGTAATATACATTAAATCTGAAAATATAGTTTTTTCCTATCATGACTCGTTTCGGCGCTGAAACCATTTTTTAGAACGGAAATACCACTAGTCTGGGTTAATTGATTATGTTGATCATTATCTACGAAAACAATCAGATGAAATTTATGTGCATGCAAAGGTGCAGTTAAAAGCCAATGTAATTTAACCCATGCTTTAGACATGTAAATCAGCAAATGAAATAAATTTTTGGTTTTCAGCCAATTTATGTAACTAGAGAAATTGAAGTGAATATGTAACCCTTCCTGACAAGGATACATCTTCTACAACATTCCGATCTCGATCAAGCCACTGAAAATGGACCAATCCCTCCTCGCCCTGACAAAATGTAGGTTTTACAAACAAATATAAATGATGCGATAAACAAAAATTCAAAATTCACCTTCATTAATTTTGAAATAAAATTGGAATTATTAAGGCATGAATTCTAAGCCAAAGAATGGAAGGACAAATAGAGTACCCTTGCTATGCGAACAAGTCCTTTACGTGTATCAGGGACAACCTTTTTACCATCAAAAAACATTTTACCAGCACGAAACTCCAACATAATTTCCTGCAAATTCATAACTCAAAATCAGAGGAATTAGAATAGACTCAGAAATATAGAAATATATTCATTTAAACATACATGCTCATAATTAGGCATGGAAGATAATTAATCATTAATCATGAACATTAAATTTCAAATATTGGAATTATAGGTCTATCTGCCTATCTATCCATACTAACCCAGCTTCACTTACTTCCCCTTCCATTGCTAGAATTTAACACATATACTCCATTTGATTGCTGCTATGCTTGAAGCAATAGACCCTAGGATGCTCTTTCCTAGCTTTAATTTCTTGTTTAACCGAAATTAGATTCATATCAAAATCACATCATCAAAAAATAGTATGCAGTAATATACCCTCATATATGCTTTATCATTCAAAACCCGAAAAACTCCACACAATTATGCAACTTCCCTTGCTCCAATTAACTATCTAGAAAAACAGTTAAAAGTCCAAAAATCCCTACTGAGAGAAAAATCTTTCCACTTGCCCTCCTCTTTCAAATTTTCAACTCCTTTCAACAGCTTTATTATTTCTCAACTGGACTAAGAGAACACCCACTAACTTTCAAGACTTTCAACCCTCCATATTGTTCTTGTTCTACTTCAGTGCAAATGTGATTTTTTAGTCTCTCAGTTATAAATTTCTAAACAACTAGAACATCTTTGACACATAAAATCAACCTATATTATCTAACCCTAATTACTCCTCCTTGCTATAGCGCCCATATCCAGAGTTTCAACCCTGGAACTCATGCCAGCAGCTAGACCCACATAATCCTCCATTTTAAAATTCCAATTCCAATTTGACCTCATTGCTTTACCACTTGAAAACCTATGCATACACTTTTGCCACTGTAATCATTATTTTGAAGCAATAGCACTAATACAAAAGTTTTACCCCAAGTGTCTATGCATTAGCCCACACATAAGCAAAAGCAGGCAGGATTGAGAATCAAGCTAGACTAAAGATAATTCAAATGAATGTATTATTGTAATTAAAATATTGTGATAAAGCACAAGAGAGAGAGAAAACCCACTAGTTTAAACTATCAATTTCACTTAGAGACAAAAATTACCTGCATTGCTGGAAAACCTTCAGCCGATGAGGAACCCATAGCTACTCTATCTGAAAACACAAGAACAACAACAACTAAGCCTTTGTTTAGAACAAATTAATATCAATCCAAAGCAAAGGAAACTATAATAACAATAATAACACAAGCAAAGAAAAATAGAAGAGATGAAATTGAAAAGTATTGCAATAATAACAATAAAAAGAGGAGAAGAAGAAGAAGAAGAAGAAGAAGAAGATAACGAGGATTCAATCGCATAGAAAGAGAAAACAAAAACCTTAGGCTATATTTTGTAAGACATCATGAAGTGTAATCTGAACAAGGTTGAAATAGAATGAAATTTGTAATGGAATGTAATGCAATCAACATTCAATTACTATGGTTGTATGGTTTAGAAAAAAATTATGGAATCTAATGACCAATGCATTCCATTCCATTATCATGTTTGATTTAATTAGTAATATAATCCATAATAAAATGACCACCACCTCCTCACTATCACCACACCACGCACTATAACTAAATGAACTTTCAATCATTTGATGATTTAATTTGTAAATGAAATATTTAGAAAAAAATTAATAATGAGTTGTATTAGTAATTCAACAATTTGAGGGGAACCAATTCCATCATTTAAAAAATTAACTGTAAACAGTTAACATTATTCAATACTATTCAAAGTGTGACCTTGAGAAACAAGACCTTGTAAAGATTTTACCAAGAAGGAAGAAGCCAAAGATTGAAGAGAGATGAAGCCAATGATAGAAACCAAGACAATATCAAGAAGATTTGTAATTAACATTAGAAAGAATATCTGTAAGGGCAGTATGAATTTGTAACATCGAGAAGATCAGCAAGGTCAATATGAATTTCTAACGTTAAGAAAAAGATTTGTAATAATTGCTGTTGTGCTCGCAGCAGCTAAAGATGGAAATGATAAAACCTGAAATAGAATCAAGTGGTGACAATAACAATAACCTTTGCTTTTTCCTCTTTTTATCAAATAATAAATTGTGTATGAAAGAAAATTGAGCTGCCTAGCCAATCTCCAATCATAATGGCTATTGGAATTCTGTAAAGATGATTAAAAATGGTCAGAGAAGAGACTTGAAATTTTCAAAAAGCAAAATTCTGCAGAGGAGCGGAGTAAAAATTTAAAAAAGAAATTATCTTTATATAGAAAAGAAACAAGGCTACAATTTTTTTTTTTTTAATTTCATCTAATCCAATTAGCTAATTTTTAGTTCTTCTTCAAAGAATCCATACATGTCAAAAACAATAATATCTATGGTGGAAAACAATCATCAAATGAATTTCTAATTCAAAAATTAAAACCCAGATTCTTAACAAATATAAGGGATCATTTCATGATAACTACAGAATCTTATTAACAACTATTAATAAAATTATTTTATTTCATGAAAATTTTAAAAAAAAGTGCATATATGAGAGAGAGAAAAAGGACATTGTTGTAAATACATATCAAAAAACAATATCAGAACAGTAAAAACAAAGCACTAAAGCTTATGTGCTCTTTCTGACGAAAACTGTGAATATAGCTTCAGGGAATGGAGATTGGAGAAGCAAAAGTATGGTTGTAATTGTAAATGAATAAAACATCAAAGAAATTATGCTTTCATTAAATTTCCAATTCCTATTTTATCTAATTACCAAGTAGAGCAGTGTTAGCTACCAAAGAAAAAGCATCTCAACAAAAGAGGGAGTCCTGTGTGGTCCAGCTCAAATCACCACCAGCAAATAGAAGAGCAAGTTATCGTAGTCTAGATGTGTTAGTTTGTTATGGGTTTTAAGTATACGAAATGAGGATGCCTAACCTATCAAAAGTTTGATCAAAATGAAGCATTGCCTATAATTTCATTTCAATAAAGTCCAAATCTAATTCTGATGGCTTGATCAAAATGAGTATGCCGAACATACAAAAGAAACATAAAAATGCACAAATTTTGGAAGCAACAACAGTAAATTTCATATTTTTCACAAAAGCATTATTTTTTTTACTAACAAGCATAAATTCCCAAGAAGAGGAATTAAAGATGGAGAATTTATGACTGAAGATATAACACTAATCTAGCATGCTAACAACATTGGTACAAAGCACATCAATAACAAAATCGTAATTTCAAACAGGAATTAACTATTATGTGAAATTAAATACAAAAAAGGGGTCAGTCACTACACCTTGTATTATCTAATTCGAAAATTAGATTCAGGCATGTAAGATAAACATGTAAAAGTAACTTAGGCCCAATAATATCTATTTTGCTGTCTTTGTATAACTAAAAAACTGCAATACGAAACAAAAGATGACAATTTAAAACTTCAGTTGAAACAACTTGTTCTATTTTGGTCTGAATTTGAAATATGGGTGGCTGAATTTAAAATTGCTACTATCTTATCATTTGGAGAAAAGTTAGGGAGACTGTGTTATTTATTGAATGGACTACCACCCCAATTATAGTCCTACAAGAACCACTACCTCCTACCCCCTAACCCTGTTCTTTGAAATTTTAAAGACAACAAATTGATTTGAAAGAGGCAGATTGTGAATTACAGGCCCAAAACACAAGAACAACGCACAGGAAAGTTCTCAAAATTTAACGACTACAAAACTAGAACCAGCAGCGACCTCAACTAACAAACAATATGGAAGAGAAAATTATTCACAACTCCAAAGGAAAATGTAGTTCCAGTTACCTGGTAGCGCTTCAGAGGATCTCTGAGACAAATTGAGCTAGAGCGATTGGAGACTGAATAACAAGCCGTGAAAACGGAGTGAAGAAGAAGAAGAAGAAGAAGAAGAAGAAGAAGAAATCCGATGCCAGCTACGTTGATAGACGCGGTGTAGTAGAGATAACCGGATGTTGGCCGTCGGTGGCGGTGGAGGTGGCGGTAGAGATGCTTTCAGTGGTAGAATTTTGATTGGGACTGGTTAGGGTTTAGACACAACGTCGCTTCTCGAGACAGATACAATAATCATACTAAATCGCTCTTGCGATTGGTGAACATTGCCTTAGAAACATATTAAGTGATCATTTTTTTTTTTTTTTTATAATTTTTGATTGGGACTGGTTTAGGGGTTTAGAACAAACGTCAGCTTCTCGAACAGATACAAGAAATCATACTAAATCCTCTCGATTGGTGAACATTGCCTTAGAACACATATTAAGATCATTTTTTTTTTTTTTTTATGAGGGGAGGGGATCATTTTTTTTTTTTTTTTATGAGGGGAGGGGAATATTACGTGATCAATTCAGTTTTTCTTTTTTGATAAATTGATCGATTTAGTTATTTATAATTACTCAATCATAAATTAAATTTTATAATAACTTGTATTTAATAGGCTGTGTTGCGCTTCAGTATTCGATATAAATACTCTTTATTTTTTACCTAAATATGTTTAATTGATTTTTTTATAACGTCAAAAAATAATAATAAATTATTGAGAAAAAAACAAATACATTAAGTCATTTTTATTTGATATTTTATTACAAAGATAATAATACATAGATAAAAACATTAAATTAATATCATAAGCAAAATTTTATGATTAGAATAAGGTACAAAAATAATAATAATAATAATAATAATAATAACAACCACAATAAAATGCTACCTCTAAAATTAAGAAGTAAAAGTAATAAGTAAATAAGCTTTTAACCGAAAATAATAACATTTGGATACATGGGAGGTCCAACGAGCCAAAATGACATACTGGATTGCGCAGCAGGGGGCAACCCTTCCATTTAGATAGCGTTCACCAAATTGATGATAACTTTGTATGGTGAACCTAAAATAATAACAAACCCAATAGTCAAAAAAAATAAGATTTTTTTATGGGGATTTTTTCTGTAGGAATCAAATATTGATGATCTATAATAAAGTAGAATTTAATAAGATTCCTAATTGATCTATAATTATAATCTCTAAATAATTTGTAATTAAGATATTAATTGTAGGTATTACGTTCTATCATAAGATGTACAATGATAAATTTAAGGAGAAATTATATTTTCATTTTTATGTTTTGACCTAATTAACTATTTTGTCCATATATATTAAGAATTACGTTATTGTATCCATGTAGTTTGTCTCCGTTAAACGAAATTATCTTTTCATTCATTATTTGATATTTAAGTCTTTTAATTGGTGGTGAAATTATAGGACTAAATCTATATACATATAAACTAAAAGGGAAAAAGTTACATTTTTTTCTATATTTTGATATAATTAAATACTTTGTCAATATATTTTAAAAATTAAACTATTTGATTCATCTATTTTGGATCACTTAATGACTTAAATCTCAAAAAACAGATGGAAATATAATTTCATTTAACGGAGATAAACTACAAAAATAAAATAATATAGTTTAAAAAATATAAGGACAAAATAGTTGTTATGCCAAAATATAGAGATAAAATCATACTTTTTCTAAATTTAAATAATACGTATTATTTTTTTCTTTTAATTGAATTATTTTAATTATTTTTTAGAATTTTAATTATTTTTATTTAGAATATTAATATAATATAATATATATATAATTATATATGAAATAAAGAGAAAATATTTTCAAAATAAAGAGAATATTTCAAACTCTTTCTTCTTTCATTATTCTATTTTTCTTTTTTTAGGAATTTTGAGTTTTTATTTTTATTTTTCTATATTAATTGGATGATTTAAAAAAATTATTTATTATTTAAAACGTGAAAATTTTCAACTTTTACAAATTGATAAAATGAAAAAAAGAATTCAAAATTTTCTTATCTATATCTATTGATTTTTACATCTCTCTTGGTATCTTTTATATATATTTCCTTTTCATTAGGTAATCCTTAAAAAAAAATAAGAAGCAGAATTTGTCGAGTTTCAATATCAATAATATGCAGTGGAGTAAGATAATTATAACAAAATAATTATTCCCAACAGAGATCCGTTTAAACGATTAGGACAATAAAATTGTTTAGAAAAATATCTCTTTTGCAGATTCTTCAAACTTCAATCTATACGGTTAGGTTGTCGTAAACCATAAGTCGTCCAATTGTCTGGTTTCTAGCAGTATCTACACGAATGGACAATCGAAAAACTCTAAAACTATTTTAGAGAATTGACAGATTAAAGTATATAATGATGCTAGATATCCTACGCTCTATTTTTATTTTTATGGCTATGAACAACTACTGTAGTCTCTAAACTGTCTCTTAAACCTTCTATATTAAAAAAACCTAAGTTATGAATAAATTAATTATAATTATTCATTTGAACTATTTAATAAATAAATTATAATTAAGATATATATGTGCCTATTTATTTATTTAAACAATTTAAATAAATAAATCATAATACATATAGTAATAGGATTCTCAATTTAATCAATTATATTTATTTATTTAATTATTTAAATAAATAAATCATAACTAAAATATTAGGTTTATTTAATCTAAAATTATAGGTTTATTTAATCTAAAATTTATCTTAATAAAATTTTAGACATAAATCAATTAAGCAATACTTAATAATTTAGGTAAAAAATGTAATTCTAAATATAAATTATAAGTTTCTTATCTATTCTTATGTGGCGTGACATTTTAAGATTCCAAAATATGGTTGGCAAAAAAATATTTAAATTAAATTAGTTAATAATATTTGAAGGGGCAAATAACATGCTGTTTAGTAACATGTATGGGACTACCAATATTTGAAAAGTCAAATGGTTTGACTTAACATTTCAGTCATATTATCAATGTAAATAATATTCCTTCATTATAACGTTTCTGATTTAGTAATTAGGATATAGTGTATTCTACTTTACTAAATCACGTTAGTTCTTCTTTAATTAGCCACCTGATCATTTTGAATGAATTTCAAATCTAATTTGCTTAATTCTCATTCTACATTGCTCAATACATTTCTTTATCAATACTAATAAAGAAACAATTAGAACATTTTTCCTTGATTGTATCTAGGGTGATGAATCATCTCTTAATTACCACAAGTAATCTCTATACAATTGCCTACTATGTCTAATAAATCATTGCTATTATTCATGAAATGAATTAAATATGAATGGAAGAATCAAAACAGTAGTCATTCCCCATACAAAAATAGCTGAGTAATTTCAAGTTAAGGATCTCTTAACACCAATTAATCACTTGAGTATTCCATAGACACTAGGTAACGTTTCCATATCGGGAATTTATCATGCAGGTCAATATCAGCATGGACTTGTTTAAATAACAAACACCCTTACATATTTAGTTCTAGATATCACATATATTCTCAGCTATGAGAACAAGCTGTTTCCCTAAGGAAAAAAAACATATATGTACCAGTTTCAGTAGCTCTAAACATCGTCAATAATGAGGAGAATACTTGACTAGGAAATATTATAGGAGACCCCATTGCTTTAATTGCAAAATAAAACTTATTAATATAACCATATCTATAGTTTACTTCGCGAACAATATTATCTTAGGGACTTTATCTTTTACTAAGATTCAATTAATAGAATATAAAAAGATAAATAAATATTCTTTAGTAATAATATAATATTTATTACATTGAAAAATATTATATCCAAGATATAACCAATCAAATTGGCTAGAATATAAAAGATAAATAAATATCTTTTAGTAATAATATAATATTTATTACATGAAATATTATATCCAAAATATAACCAATCAAATTGGCTATAGGGCATATAACTAACAGAATTGAGCGTCTTTGTTCAAGCTTCTTTATTTATGTTTCTATTTTTCTTTCCAGTTGATATTGATTTATTTAATACTAATTAACCACATCCGTGTTTGTACTCATGTTGATTTATGGCAGTCGCATTCATACTCTTTCCACAACAACCATTGCTCATATCCAAAAGGGTCTCATTTGCTTTCTCTCTATTGTTGACAGTCTCTATGTTCATTTGCTTCAATCTATGCAAGCAGCAGGAAAAAAGGTTTTTAAGAAGGATTATGATTTAATTTCTGACTGGTGAAGAATCATTTAGATCCATCACTAGATCATTGGATAGAGAAGCAGCTGGTGCACTTCTAGTTTATGACATTACAAGGTCAGTCTATGTTTCTACCTATGTTCACATTAGTGCATGCTCTTTTTTCGTTAGGAAACAAGACATTTCAAAATAAGTATATGATTTCCTGCCAACATAAGAGTAAGACATATTAAAGAAAATCGTTAGACTTCTATTTATCATCATTCTCATTCTGTAAGCTTTAGTAAAATTATCAGATTTGAACTTTCATCTTTTAGTTTTACCCATTGCAGTCTTTGTGCCACCCCAGTTCTTTTGGCTATATTAAGAGATTATTTCCTAGTTTATTTTCAAAAATTGATGATTCTAGTTTTAGGTGTGATGTTTGTGAGCTTGCAAAAAGTCATCGTGTATCTTTTTCACCTAGTGCAAATAAATGGTTATACATTCTGATGTTTGGGGTCCATCCAAATTAAACACGTTAGGAGGAGCACGTTGGTTTGTTACTTTTATAGATGATTGTACCAGAATGACTTGGGTGTGTTTGATGAAATTCAAAAGTGAAGTGAATAGCTTGTTTCAAAAGTTTCATAAAATGATTTGCACTCAATATAATGCCAAAGTTGAAGTTTTGCGCAGTGATAATGGAGGAGAGTATTTGAGCCATGAACTCCAACAATACTTAAAAGCACAAGAAGTTATTCATCAAACCACTTGCTATTATACGCCCCAACAGAATGGTGTAGCCGAGAGAAAAAATCGGCATTTATTAGAAGTTGTTCGTGCTTTATTGATAGAGGCTCATATGCCATTGTCTTATTGGGGAGAAGCTTTTACATGTGCAGCATATTTGATCAATCGAGTACTTTCAAGAATAATTAATTTTCAAACACCATCCCAAGCTCTTGCTGAGGCGATTGTTGCTCCAATTGTCCCAAATTTAACTCCTCATGTTTTTGGCTGTGTGGCATATGTACATCTTCACAAACACCAGGGCGATAAGCTAGCTCCTCGTGCATTGCGGTGTGAATTCTTGGGATATGCTA